GAGATGATGGTTGTAAACAATTAGAAAACTTAATGAAAAATGAGGTGTATAAGTAACCAAGTTAGCTAAGAGAAAATGAGATTCCAATCATGTTTTCTTAGTAATTATACTATTTTAATCCATAAAAATTATCTATAACTTAAGAAAAACTATTAATTTAATCAAAGATACTTTAAGTATATAGATGAATGATCTTAATAAGCCTACCTTAGCAAATGACATAGCATACCAACCTAAGCAGGGACATCCAAATTTGTTCCGTTTCCAAGAACTGAAAGGTTATCCATGATTAAGTCACACCACCTGGATAGTGGCAATTAGAGCTGACGGTTGTAAACAAATCAGAGAACTTCATGAAAAATGAGGTGTTTTCTTAAATTTGTAACATTTTAACTTTTAAGTTGCTTTTTGATGTTTGGTTCATGCTCATGCTAAGACATTTTAAGCTTCTGTCTAGATTGACAAACTGGTGAACACTTAAGAGTTTGTGAATTCAGATGTTTGTGGTGAAATGTATTATTGAAATGTTATCATTAGAAGTAGTTAACCTGATAAATCATGCTAGATAATTGCTCAGTCACCTCTCACTTGTGTTGAATGTCTTTTATCTAATTTACTAACTTGAAGACGCGAAAAAATTCATGTGCAAACCCCTTCCTTCATTTGGGGATTTTGTTTTTTTTAAATTGAGTATATTCAGCCGATGTGGCTTTTGCTCAATATAATTCTCCCCTGCCAAAATGATTAATTCTAGTTAGTATCAGTTTTTTTTTCTTGGTTGTGCATAAGATTAGTCTGACAGACCTTTCTTTCAGGACGTCAAATCCCCAGAGTCAACAATATTGCAATTCATTCCTAGCATTCGCTCAGGTAGCTTTGCTGATACTGGTCCACGCAGGTTCATGGAAGATGAACATATAAGGATAGATGATCTATCTGCACATCTTGGCTCACTCATGAAGTTTCCGAAGCCCAGTGCTTTCTACGGGGTAACTGCTAGTTATTTGCATATGTCTTATTCGTCCCTGTACATTTTCAAAGGCGGAGCTTGTCTAACATTTAGTTTTATAGATATTTGATGGTCATGGAGGACCGGAAGCTGCAGCTCATGTGAGAAAAAATGTACTTGGATTATTATTTTCAGACACCAATTTTCCAGAGACTTCAGAAGTTGATGATGCATTTCTAGAAGGGGTGGAGAGTTCTCTTAGGAAGGGGTTTCTTCTGGCCGACCTTGCTTTAGCCGATGACTGCAATGTTAGCAATTCTTCTGGAACCACTGCACTGACAGCTCTTGTGTTGGGAAGGTAAGATTGTGATTCATTGTGATGCACCTATTAACAAGTAACGACTTCTCCGTCCTGTAGAAAAATGGTTATGGTGTACTCACACACATTGCTATGTTGCTTTTTTGTCTCTTCTTCCGAGCGTTTTATGTCCTTGACTTCATCTTTTGACACTCCTTTCACAGCTAATGGTATTGAATTGTCCAACCTACCCAAGTACATCTTAGTTACTTACGCCTTACCTAAGGATGCTGCTTGATATATGAGAGAGAGAGTAAATGGTCCGTGTATATGAATTTGATATTTGTTTCACCAAGTTTTGTATCATAAATATTGATTTTACAACGAAGTTGCTGAGGGGGTGAGCATTAGAGTTGACCTTGCTGTTCAATGGAACAATTGCTTAGCCTTGTGCATATATTTGTATTCTTGTTATCTAAATGATACTCTGTTGTGTTTTTAGGCTATTAATGGTGGCAAATGCAGGAGACTGCCGAGCAGTCCTTTGCCGTAACGGAGAGGCAATTGACATGTCTCAAGACCATAGACCAAATTATCCATCAGAGAGGAGGCGTGTTGAAGAGTTAGGTGGATTTATTGATGATGGCTATCTGAATGGTATACTATCAGTGACCAGGGCCTTGGGGGACTGGGACATGAAGCTGCCTCGTGGCTCTGCCTCTCCTCTGATTGCAGAGCCAGAATTTCGACAGATAGTTCTGACAGAGGAGGATGAATTCCTTATTATTGCTTGTGATGGAATCTGGGATGTCTTGTCTAGTCAACAAGCAGTTAGTCTAGTGCGTCGAGGGCTAAGACGGCATGATGATCCTGAACAGTGTGCCAAGGACCTTGTCATGGAGGCCTTGCGGCTCAATACATTTGACAATCTCACAGTAATTGTTGTATGCTTTACTTCCCCTGATCATCAAGAGCTATCACCAATGCGTCACAGGAGATTAAGGAGCTGCAGCTTCTCTGCAGAAGCCTTGTATAGCTTGCAGAGCTGGTTAGACAACAAAGGGAGCCATTGATAGCGGTGCAAGCTGTTTGCAGCTGCCTCATTTGGGCAGAATAAAGAGCAGCTATAGTTTTGGTAGTAAGATCTTCTTTTCTTGCTTTTGTATTTGGGTGGATGTATGTACATACCATTCGTTGGTGAGTTGAGAGCTACACTGACTTTTAGTTTATTATGGCTATTAGCGTATGGCTGTGTTTATGTAAACTCATTCTATGAGGTGTACATAATGAACATTTGGTACTTTTTGCTCCGTATAATAACTTGGTACAAAGTAGTCAAATGTTGCATCATCTTTATGTGAGAGAGGCCGAGGATTAGCCTCATCCCCTCTCCTCCTTATTAATAGTAGAATTTACTATTTAGTAACCATGTAGCTTCTTATAATTTCTTATTATCTGTTGTTTCATTTACTCTGTATCTTGCTATTTGCTATTATATTTTAACCCAATGGTCTAGCATAAACAACTCCATACCCCCCCCCCCCCCCAAAAAAAAAAAAAAAAAAACCCCCCCCCCCCCCCCACAAAGATAGAAACAAAATCTAAATATATCCTATCTTTTTCGAAATCCTGTCATAAAACTACATTAAATTTATTGTTTTTGTTATTATTGTTGTAATGTCCCATGCTAAGAAATTCATTAAATTTGAATGATCTCAATTTTAACCATTGTTTCGTGGTCTGATCAATTTTTTAACTTTGGTGTATCTTCTTTAACATTATAGAAAGGCTTAAGTCATTAGCAATTCCTTGAAGTTGTCTGCATAATTCATTTAAACATCTCAACAAATGCTTGTACCTACAGAACACCTATGTCTCTTAAAATTGATATATATTTGATATTTTTTTGACAATCAACATGTGTACTACACTCGCAGTGACATGGTAAATGGCTGAATTAAATGATGACATGTGGCATTTAAGTCCAAAAATTTATTTAAAAGTAAAATTCTAAATTTTTACTATTTTTAGTCTATTTAATTAACTAAAAAAAATTATAAAGAATATTCTAAAAAATCCACTCAGGCATTCACCCACCCATGACAACCACTCCTCTTTCTTTCCTGTTAGATCCAAACGGCCAAACCGTAACATCCCCGACATTGTCCCTCCCTCAATCTATTTTTTCAACTATAATCTTCTTCTCTTCATCCGATTTTGGTACAAGGAATATGAATAATGTTTCACCGTATAATTATGAATTTCTATCACCATGACTAAAAAAAATGGTGTTATTTGAAATATTTTTCTGAATTTCATAACTGATATTTTTTGGATTTGAAGAACTCTTCGTTTCTTTTAACTATCAATTTTAATTAATTGATGTGATTGCTTATTGTTGGAGAGAGAAGGCCCAAAATAGTCCCTCATCTTTGGGTTAAGACTCAAAGTCATCCTTGAGTTTTCACATGGAGCACTAGTAGTCCCTCATGTTTGAAATATTGGTGCACTTTTGGTCCTCCCCTAAACTTTTACCTATTTTTAACATTAATTTTGTTCATAATTTTATGTAAGGAATGTCCCATCGTCTTTTTATATATTTAGTAGAAATAATAACTCTATGTGAGAGACGGTAAGAAGAAGAACACCTTGTTCTGTTCAGTATAAATATTACTGCAGCTAAACTAAGAACATTTTAACATATGACATTGCAAGAAAAGAAAAATTTGTACTGTTGTACGTGAAATCGTCGCGATGAACCTCTCGACTTTACCTGCAATACGATTTTTACTAAACAAAATAAGGTGTTTTTCTTCTCATAATCTCTCACATAGAGTTATTATTTCTACTAAATATATAAAATGACGATTAAACATTCCATACATAAATTATGAATAAAATCAATGTTAAAAAATAGGCAAAATTTTGAAGGAGGACCAAAAGTGCACCAATATTGCAAACATGAGAGACTATTAATGCTGCATGTGAAAACTCAAGGATGACTTTGAGTCTTAACCCAAAGATGAGGGACTATTTTGGGTCTTTTCTCATTGTTGGATTACATTGACATAAGTTTATGTTCGGAAAGAACCTTGTTGGAAAAAAATAAAACTTCATCAGAAATTACAATTCTTAAAGATGATTAAAAAATCTAACTAGATATATGCATCATCGATTTTAATATATGATGATGAATTGTGGTAGAGTTAAGAAAGAAGAAGAAGGTAAAAAATGCCAAAAAACTATATTAAAAATCATTGATTGTTACAGTGTTTTAGATGAAAATGATGATGGTAAGGGGAAGGAAGAGATGGCTAATGAAAAGAGAGAGAAGAGAAGGGTGGATGGCGATAGGGGAGGGTGGATGGCGATAGGGGCGATGGCGGCGATGTCGCCGGAAATGGGTGGTGTTGGAAAAAAGTGATATGGCAAAAGAAGAAGAAAGAGATCTAAAAAAAAAAGAAGCTAAAAATTGTCCCTTCACGCTCCTATGTATGTGTGTTGCACTCTCTTTGCCATGTCAGCGAAAAGTGTTCATAGATACTCATTTTGAACAATAAAAGTGTTCAATAGACACAAGTCTTAATTGGGGTGTTTAAATGCATTATGCGGACAATTTTAAGGGGCCTCAGACGACTTAAGCCTTATAGAAATATTTTGTTAATTAGTTTAGTTTGAACTAATAGCTTATTTTTGAGTTATTTAATTTATAATTAAATTAACCATTTAAAAACTAGGGTAAGATTGCAAAAATTCAAAAGAACCGATATCGTCTTCTTCTCCAACCCTAATGGACTGATCCATTTTTCTCGTCCAACGAGTAAATTCAATTGTTGAATCGACACGAGGAATTCAAATTTCCACCCGTTATATATATACCCAATTCACTCAATTTCTTTACTCATTTTTTAGTTTCTTTGTTAATTTCCTCTTTTTATTCGTCCTTTAAACCCTGCAACTTTGAAAACTTGAATTTCTCAAACCCCATTTGGTGATAACTGTGGCAGCATCTTCCTCTTTCACAAGTAAGTGTTACACACTTCTGTTCAATTTTCTTAGAAGTCCCTTTTTCATGAACAATTAACTGGTCTTCTATTATTGTTAACTTACTTATTACGGATATTTGACTTTAAATTACTCGATTTTAGGGGGTTTTAGTATGAATAAGAACCATCAATATTCGATTGCTTTACAGACTAGTTATGCAGAACTATAGTAGATGGGTTATTATGTGATGACTCATAATTACTAAAAGATTGGGGATTAGATTCCAAGTCTAAGAATTAGTTGTATTAAATTTGTGTCTCCTTCATTTATAAAACAGGGCTGCTTACTTTAAAGGGTAATTTTTAGCACCATTTTAGGTTCTTATTTTCAGGTATTGCTAGTAGTACATGTATCGTTTCTTCTTAGTCTATCCGATACAATACTAGAGGATCTCTATTTATACTATTTTTTAGGGGCCTTTGTGTAAATAATATTGCATTTTAGGTTCTCTACTTATAATACTTAGAAGGTTTTGTATTGCTTGGAAGATTGCTTACAATTTGAGCGATGATTTTGCAAATGGGAGGCCCTCTATTTATACTACTTTCTAGGGGCCTTTGTGTAAATAATATTTACAATACAAGTCCCTCTATATTTACAATTTGATTCACATTCTAGAATTCTCTACATCTACATGTTCTAGGGAATTCTAAAGCATTCTTAAAAATATCTAGGGGTTTTAGAGTTCTACATAAGCCTCTCCACAACTTTAGATTCTTTCTCTCCTATTCGGATGCAAAATTCGATCGGCAAAGTCGCAGGACATGACAAGTAGCTTTATTGCATAAAAATGGGTCTATCTTATTCTTTTAGATAGAAAAGAAAGAAAATGGAAGTACTATTGTTGTTTATAAAAATTAAAAAACAAACCTTTTAGAAATATTTAATAAGGAGAATGGTTTATCCTACAATTAGGGGTGTTCACGATTTGGTTTGGGTCGGTTATTGGTCAAAATCAAAACCAAACCAACTTAATCGGTTTTAAAATTATCAAAACCAAACCAAACCAAATATAATATATATTTATCGGTTTGGTTGTTTTCGGTTTTGGTTTGGTTTGGTTTGGTTCGGTTATTTGGTTTATTAACCATACATAAAATAAAAGAAACAATTCATTCAAAACGTGAAAAAAGTGACAACAATCCATTCAAAACGAAAAATAGTTAGAATGACTTAAATTACCGAACTTTCGATCACTGAATTTACTATCAATAAAGCTTTAAAATTCACTATATTAAGCCTAAAAGGAAGAGACAATAACATTTTCAATCCCACAAAGAATTGACATAGACACTCATATACATGAAATCAATAAGATAAATGTTTCATCTTGGGCATTTTTGCTTTCAATAAGTAAATTATAAAGAAATTTTAATGAAAATATATGTAAGATCTTTAAAGTTGTTTATAAAAACAATATATTAAGTATGTATATTAATAAAAACATATATAAAATCTTTAAAATTGTTTATGAATATAATATATTATGTATGTATAATAATAAAATTTATGTATATAACTTGTTGGTTCGGTTCGGTTATTTCTTCGATTTTTTTCGAACAAAACCATAACCAAACCAAATACTATCGGTTCTTAACAATCTAAAACCAAACCAAACCAAAACCCAAATTAAATCGGTTCATTTAATCGGTTTGGTTTGATTTTTCGGTTTGGATCGGTTTTTATCCAAACCATGAACACCCCTACCTACAATAATAGTGATGCTAAAAGAAAGAGAGAAATAAGACAAACTCTTAACAATAATATATTCTAGTTATTGAGATTCTTTCGTTTATGTTCCTTCGGCCAAATTTAATTGTTGGCACTAGTTAAAATATATAAAACCAATATAATAATTATGTATATTATATATTTATATTTAATGATTACTGAGTCGAGCTTGTCGCATATGACTTGTCCAGTACGATTTATATTTTTTGTGTGGTTTACATGCTATTACATAATGAGGATTTTCCAATGTGCACAAGGTTTTCACCCAAAGGATAGAAATTATGTCAAAGATTATAGTAATTACGGATAATCCTGAATTTATATATTTTATAAAATAGATCAAATATATTGAACTATAATTATGTCTTTATTTTCATTAATAGTGATATTATATCCATTTTCAATAATAATTTTACAAACTAGATTGTAGCAGCTGCAAATTATCTTAAATATATATATTTTTTATAAAACAGATTACCCAAAAATGTTGAACTATTATTAGCTCTTTATTTTTCATCAATAGTGATATAAAATCATTTGGTGGCTGATTTTTGGGGAAACTTACGTGGGAAAGGGAGCAAAATAAAATAAAATAAAATAAAGGAAAAACAATGCAGGAAAGAAAATGGGGTAAAAAAATATGTTAGGAGCAGTGACGGACCCAGGATTTTGGTTCAGGGGATTTGGAAAAAAGTAAGCATGCTAATAGTGTTGACAAATTAATGAGTCGATTTAGATATAAACGGGTTAAATCATATATGAGTGAGCTTAAATTAAATAATTTTTATTAAAGTAAATATTTTTATTAAAAAGTTTATTAAGTATATAATAATATTTACTTGGAAATCCAATTTTTTTATTGAAATATTACTATGTATTAATTTAATATTTTAAAGAAACCCATAAATCTACAATATAAACCTATTTGAAAAGGTTTGACAAAGTCTTAACCAAAAAAAAAAAGTTGTCAGAGAACACCTCCACCGAGATTCGATCTCGGCTAAAATGCATGGACCTTAACCTGCTTAACTGCTGCATTGTGTACTAATCTTGTGGTGAGGGAGTTCAACCTTTAATATATGTACGTAAATCGTAAACTTCATTCTATACGTACAATATAATTTTCCGAGTGAGGGGGGTTCGGATGAACCCCTCGGCTCCATGTGGGTCCGCCCCTGGTTAGGAGGAGTAAAACTAGGTAACAAATTCTTTTTGGAGAGAGATTTTATTCTTCCAGCTAAAGAGAAATACATATTTAGATATGTGAAAAGATTTGACTAAATTTAAATTTAAAAATTGTAGTCAATATTAAAATTAGAGTTTGAAATAAATTCTACCAAAAATATATTAAAATGGATAACTATTAAATTACTATATAAGAATTCCAACGTTCAAAATAAGAATTCTAACGTTCATAATAGACGTCTCTACAAACATTCAATTCAAACATACACGACAGATACATGGCGAACACGGTGAACAACTAGACCTTCGTCATCGTCTTCCCAGCGACTACGAGGCCATCAACTTTAGAAGCGAGTCCTCATCCTCACCCCCACCCTTACCCTTTTGTACGAGGACAAGATCAAGCTATCCTTGCTGAAGAAGAACGTCTTGTAATCATTTGATTTGGCCATGATTAGGATGCAGGTAACCTACTATGAACATTTTTTAAACATATAATTGTGAATTTCTTGAAATTTTTATATGAAATTTATTAGGTTTTTAGTAAAAGAAGAATCTTAGAGGATTCAACCACAAATAGTTATGGTATGGGCATTTTTTAACATGTAATTGTCAATTTTTTATATGAATTTTATTGGGTTGTTAGCTGAAAGAAGAATCTTGGAATAGATATAAAGGATTCATGTAGTAGACTCAACTAGTTATGGTATGAGCTTTTTTGAACATACAATTGTCAATTTCTGCAAATTTTTTATAGGAATTTTATTGATGGATTGTTAACTAAAAGAAGAATCTTGGAATAGATATAGAGGATCCATTTAGTAGACTCAAACTAGTTTTGAATTAGATATAAGCTATTGAACTTATACTTGTGTAGTATCTTTTTTCTGTTAAAAAAAGAATTGATGGATGACTTGATAAAAGTGGAAACTATAATGGCTAGAATGGAGCAGACTAGAACACAACTGGTTTGGGATTGCTTGATTGATTGGTGATTATTTGGAAGGATAACTTTGATTGGCTTGTTTGTCCGTTTGAATTGCTAAGTCTGATGAATTTGTTGTTCATGTTGGTTTAACTGATTACGGCAGAAAAAGGTTATTGATTTAATGTTTTTATTGTATTGAATCACCTGATTGTATTATTGTTGGTGGAAAATAGAGTATTGATCCTACTAGTTTTTATTTGCCTATTTATGCTGAATATAACTGCATTGACCTTTGGAAGGCATGGTCAGTCCAAAGTCTAGATAAAGGGTGAGTGCTGCCGTAATTATGATGAATCCTTTCTTTAAACCGATCCCCAACTAGTTTGGAGTTGAGTTGTAGTTAATTATTTGCTCATTTTTGCCTATATTTTTACTTCTTGTTCAACTTTATGTGTTCTCGTTAAATTTACAAAAGTTTCACTAGAAGAATAAAAGATGTGAAGTAATTGTCCTTCCCATCCTTTTCTAGACAACTTCATGTGCAGTTGAAAATGAAGCCATAGTGAAAAACAAATTACTTATCCTATGATGCTCATTTTCTATGATAAGTTCTTCAATAGCTATTTGAACTTCTGTTACACTTTATATGCTACACTACTCCTAGATGCCTGTTGTTATTTTAGGCAATAATTTATTTTGAAATTTGTGACTACATTAGGGAAACAGTGATATTGATCAGCTAGGGAAGATTTTTGCGACCTTTGGGACCCCAAAGCCTTCACAGCGGCATGATATGATGGTCTACTTGCCGGATTATGTTGATTACCAATATGTCCCTGGCCAGCTATTCAAAACACTTTTTCCAACTGCTACTGATGATTGCCTGGATCTTCTGTTCGTAATTGACGGTGCTTTTATCATCCTCCGAAATTTGACGTCCTCCCCTATATGCATTTGTTTGTCTTGGTTTGGTGGATATTTGATCAGCTCAAATTTTAGCTTAACTACTTGTGATTGATTTTCTCCTTTGCTTCTGTAAGTTTAATTTTAATTGTTGTTATGCCTCTTATGTTTGCATTGTTAAGAAAATTTAGGTAGTAAACTTGTCACTTCAAAATGAATTTGATTGCTACTTTCTTTACTCATCATGTGGGATGCATCTTTTGACATTAATTGCTCTAATGGCTATGCAACATCTTAATTTCTCATCTTGATTAAGAGTAATTTGCTTAAGACTAGATAGTGACTATTTAGTAGGTTAAAGAATTATTATTTGAGTCTTAAGTTTGGTTGGTAATAATTTTAGTTGTTTTGTTTGCCTACTGATAGCCTAAATATACAACCTTGTGAGTAGTCTTTTTTTTAAGCTTAGGTTGACTTGCTCCCTGCCATGATCATCATGTATGAGCTATTTTGTTCTCTTTTTTAATGTTCAAGATTTGAAACAGTATCATATGCGTTTATCTCTTTTGATTGTTACACATGAAAAACTCTTCTCTTAAATGATATGTTGGATGAACTCAAGAATGTACACAAATGCAAACCATTCCTGTTACAAGTACAAATTCTTCTAAGATATGTGTAGACACCAACCTCCTCATACTCTACTTGTAGAAGTATACTCAACATATTTGTGTTGTTCTCCACATCTCCTCTCTCATATCAATTTATTTTTCAAGATGTAAGTCAGAATTCTTCTTAAATTTATGTGAATATTTCAATTCAAGGCTAGCATCCCTTCATTTCATCCCTTTTCGGTTAGAAACCCCTTGGTTAAATCTTCCCTGTTTGATTGTTTTCCTTTTTTACTTGAGGTAAGTTTAGTTAGCTCGTTTTGTCGATACATTTTATAAGGGTTACTATTTGTCTGGTTTGGGTACTTGAATCTGAGGCTACGTCAATGACCAAGTTTTTATGGACTATCGTATGATATTGAATTAGACATTATCTCCTGAACTGTAGCCAGTGGCTATGTCTTATGATTTGTTGAATATTAAAGTCAGCCTATTTTTCTTTTTTAATCTCAATCTAATTTGTATTAGCCTAAGTTATAGTTTATATTGCGTTTCTTGTGATTCATTATAGTGTATCTCACTGTAATTAATATGTGAGCAACAAATACTTAGTTTTAAAAATCCTTTCAATCATTCTAATCTAATATCGTTTTATTTTCCTTGCATGTGATACCAATTCGAGTCCACTTTTGGACTAATTCCTTGCATTTCATCGAGTTGAATTCCTTTGAGTCAGCCCCATCGGTGTTCAAGTGAAAGGAAAGCTGAAATACAAGGCAAACGAAAGCAAAAAATGCAGGGAAAGGGGCTGCTAAACAATCATGTATACACTGATATACAGTTTTGTATACGCTGAAAAGAGGCCCAAATCAGCAGCAATTTAGGCCCAAAGAGGCTGCTTTTAGGTCCAAAAGGCCCAAACTCATTCTCTCTCTCCCATATGTAGTAATTCAAAAAAAAATTGAAAAATTTTCATCAAATTATTTTACAAAAACTTTTTTATAATTAAGAAAACAAAATTTTTATTAGGTACTAAAACATAACGATTTTACCCCGTATTACCTCAAAATTATATTAATAAGGGAAAAGGGTCTGATATACCCCTCAACTTTATTATTTAGAGCTGATATACCCCTCATTATGAAATTGGCTCATATATGCCCCTATTGCTATACAAATGGCTCACATATACCCTTTTCCTCTTACGGAAGTGAAAAAATTAATTTTAATTATTATTATTTAAAAAAATATATAATCCCATATGGGTATATTTATTCTCCTCACACATAATTTTTTTTTGACTTTTTTTGTTTCAACGACTAATTTAAAGTTATTATTTTGATGGTCAAATTTATTTATGTTTCACTAATTTTCTTGTAAACTTTATTATAGATGACCCAATTTTTTTTCAATACAAAAACTAAATAACAATATAGTCGAAAAAATAGTTTTAAATTATAATATAGCCACAAAAAAATTAGTTTTAAAATTTTCTCTTTACACTAACGAACAAAAGAAAAAAATAA